ACGAAAACACCACTAAATTACACCAAAAACTTGACAAACTCATTAACAAACAAATGACAGACAATATACCCCAGACAGGCACATACACCCCCCCCCCACACACACACACCGCACACACACGGCAGAGAAACGCAAAAAACACAAGGCAGAATCCTCTAGCGAGGACGAAGCCCCAAGACACAAAAAATCAGACAAAACAAACAAAACACGAACACAAACACCAAACACGCGCCCCCCGACACCTAAACCCTCCACAAGCGCCCTACAAAACACCCCACAAAACACACAACAGACAGACAAAACCAAACAAGTCCCCCCGGTAATCTTGCGAAAGCAAGAACGGTGGACACAAGTACAAAAAATACTCACGACACTTAACATTAACTATACAAAAGCCAAATTGACTAAAGACGGTATAGCCATATACCCAAACACACCTAATGACCACAGACTATTGACAAAGACACTGACAGACAAAGGCGAGGAGTACCACACCTTCACCCTCAGCGAAGAAAAAACGCTGAGGGTGGTGATACGCGGAATACCTGCGGGTGTTTCGCCAAGTGAGGTCCAACTCGACCTCGCAAGACAAGGGTTCCCCGGCGCAATAGTGCACCGCATGGCGAGCCGTCAAAATAAACAGGAAATGCCCCTGGTCCTAGTTCAGGCCCCACAGGACCAGGAGGACATCCTGAAGGTAACCCGCTGCTGCTCGCTCGTGGTTCGAGTAGAGCTGCAGCGAAAGCAGCGGGTTGCCACACAGTGCCACCGGTGCCAGCGGTTCGGCCACGGCCAGACCCGGTGCACAGCTGAGCCAAAGTGCGTAAAATGTGGCGAAAACCACAGCACGCACGTATGCAAAAAGGCCAAAGACACGCCCGCCAGGTGTGCAAATTGCGCCGGGCCACACCCCGCCAGCTATATGGGGTGCCCTCAGTACCCCAAAGCTAAAAACACAAAAACACAAAACACAGACACACACACGACACAAAACACTACACAAACACACAGACAGCCCCTCCTACCCACCCCAAACACAACCCCAGGACGCACATACGCTGACATGACCAGAAAAACACAAAACACACAAAAACAAAAACACAACACCTCACCACACGCACACACAGACACGACACCCTCCCAACCGGGCGCGGCGGCCCTGATTGACGCAACAAAGCGTCTTCAGGACTTCTGCGTCCAGCTGACGACCATGGTGTCGAATATGCAAAAATTATTCGACTTCTAATGGCTCGTCGGCCCTCCCAACCCTCCTCGCTGAGAATTTCGTCCTGGAACCTTGACGGGTTCCGGGCCAAAAAAACGGAACTCGTGGACATCTTGAACCGTCTAAACATAGACGTTATGGCTGTCCAGGAGACCTACCTCAGCGAGGCATCCCGTACCTCCATCCCTGACTATGACATATACAGACATGACAGAAACCGTAACGGGGGTGGTGTTGCACTCATAGTAAAGAAGTGCATCGACCACTATCCGCTGCAGCGGCTCCAAACTCAAAACACAGAGGCCGTGGCGATAGCGGTGAGATCGCTACGGCATGGAGACGTTGCGGTGGTGTCCTGTTACCACCCACCCAGACTACCACTACTTGACAATGACTTAGACAAAATCCTTTCCTGGCCCCAGACAATTGCCATCGGGGACTTCAACGCGAAGTCCCCCATATGGCACAGCGGGACGACGACCACAAGAGGTCGCGTCCTGCTGAATTACCAAGACAGACACGACGACTTGACTATACTCGGACCGACAGAACCGACACATTACGGACCCGTAGGACGCCCCGACGTTATCGACATTGCCCTCTTAAAATCTATACCGTTAAATGCCCAAATATCCACCCAATACGAAGGGTCTTCCGCCCACAATCCAATATTTCTGGATCTGGGGCGAAGACAGAGATATGAAGGCACCTTCACGAGGAGGTTCACTGACTGGGAGCGTTTCCGAACAGTAATGCAAGGAAACATGGCGCTCCCAGTCATCGAAACCACCCATGATCTGGAGGCGGCAATCCTCTCCCTTGAGACTGACATTAAAAACGCCCTGACTCAGACTACGACGGAGACTATTGTCCCCCGACTGACAAACCCCCGGGGCACCCTCCCCGATGACATAAAAAACT